TTCACACCAATCGCCGACTTACTGGGAATTTATCCAAAAGAACTTTCTCAGCCATTTCATTCAGTATACATAATTAACATATTATTTACATTACTTTTTCTAAACCTACTATACTGGAAAATTAATATATATTCTTTTTACAGAAAAAATTCTTTTGGATAAAAGCACACTGGACTATCAATTCAAAAAATCAAAAATTTTGGTACATGTCTTGCGACAACTGCAACAAATTATTCAACACAGACCTCGGAGAAGTTCACAAATGCCGATTCTGTAAGTGTGAACCATGCAAAAGGTATTCCAAGGTAATTTACACCAGTCAACGTATATTGAAATTTTACATAATCCTACAACATAGTCCAAGAATTACATAATATATGTTTTGCAAAAAATTCATTCTCAGAGCAAATGCTTTTGTACACTTACAGGACAAATTTGCATCGTTAAATGCAAGCATCATAGGAAAGGCCACAAAAACTTTATTACAAACTACTGGGAATGCCATAATGACCCATTCGAAAAGGTAAAATCCAAGTTCTACCGCGCCTAAATATTATTTTTTCCACGTTTCAATATTTGCTATTCAAACATATTTGTCTTATTGCAAGAACCAAATGTAGACATCAACACTTTTATGGAAACTGAAAGTGAAACAGATTGGCTATTTTATCTGAAAGTGACACAAAAGCGACAAAACCTTTCTGAAAACCACTTTGAAATTATCTTTGCATTCGACTCTTCAGGGACAATGATTGACAATCAACCTTCAATTGTAACCACTGAAATAAATCCTTTGGCTAACATACTTACTGTGAGCACTTCAGCTGAATCAGAAGAAAATGTAGACACCAAAGACACACACAGCAAAGAAAAAACACATACCTTAACTACTGAAACATTGAAAAATACTCAGGCAGTAACTGCAACAAATCCAAAAAAGTCTATCTTTCGATCAGATGATATTGTTGAAACAGATTCCAAGTCACAAAAGAAGGCTCACAAAAGTTCTGAAATCAGTGACAAATCAATCTCCCCACACTAAAAAAAAATGAATGAAGTGTACTTTTCTTTTGTAGCAATAAGCAGTAAAAACAACCTCACCTGATATGTCTATGTATATAACTCTCATGCAGAACTTTATCAGTTAACAATAAGTTCTTACTTTTGAGACTACCTGGTGAAGAGGTTGTTCTGGGTTTTGTTTTTGCAAGTATGAAAATTATAAGAAACATTATCATCTGCTACCGTATCCTCTTTGTATATGTACTGCCGTTGTATATAAACGTTTGTAGTTTTGTGCCTTTACAATCTATTAATTTCGTATGTTTAAATTTTAACTTTATACACTCGAACTAATTTCATATTGGTTTTTGTTATAAAATATGAATAATTTACATCATACGTTAAAAATACTTATGTTCCATTCTACCTCATTATACATATCAAATATTTATTACTCTTCATTTCTCATTACATACGTAACCTATATTCCATCCATAATTTTTACGTATAGAATTCCATTCAAAAGTAATTTCAGATTATATTTATTATATATAAATTTACCTTAATCAAAAAGTTGAAAATTTGAATTACAAAATATTTTAAATTATCCTGGTTTTACCATGTACAGTGAAGTCTCCGGGCGCCACAAAGTAAAGTCGCCGTGACGGCCAGAGTGATTCAAGTAACACTGTCTTATGCATCAATACAAGTTTTCTTAAATTATTATCAGTATAATCCAATTGAAGTAACAGTCTATTCTAAAATTTTCATAACACACACTAATCATGTTACTTGCAATTTCATCAACATATACAAGAAAGGCTACATTACTTCTCATTTGCCTTCCATCACTCCGGAAGGCATGGTGTCCGGTGACTTCAATTGCTCCGGACGCCAATGAGCGAAGTCTCCATGGCATCCAGAGAGTTCCATCGCTTCGGACACCACGGAGCGAATTCTTCGTATCGTCCGCAGACTTCCATCGCTCCAGACGCAACGGAGCGAAATCTCTGTGGCATCCAGAGACTTCAATTTTTATGATTTATATACACGTATATACTCACTCACATATATTATTATTATTTATTAATAAAATATAGAATTTAAATTACTCTTGTTTCTATCAAAATAACTCTACTATAATTAGTACAAAATTATCAAAATAACTCGATATATATTTTATCAAATATAAATATATTTTATATTTATAGATGCTTTTGTTGACTTACGAGGTGATTTTTTTTTAAATCATAGAAAACTATTGAAAATTTTAAAAAAAAATTGTGCTGGGCGAACGCCGCGGAGCATTTGCTCCATGGCATCCGCTCCACGGAAATTTATTTGAAGTAATATTAGTAATCGAGAAAGAATATTATTTGTTTATTTGTTTATACATATATAATTAGTTATTTACTAATTATATACTAATTGATACAAAGAGTATTATATGCTAATTATATAATTATATATACACAATTATTTGAAAGTAATATTAGTAATCGAGAAAGTATATTATTTGTTTATACAAATAATATAATAATATATACTTTAGGAGGCACAATTAGGAGAAAGTATATAATTAATTTATATAAACAATTACAAAGAATATTATATGCTAATTAAATAATTATATATGAATAAATCTACTTTTACATCAAAATATGTACCCGTAGCAAAACCGATTAT